TGCCCTCTGTTCCGATGATCAAAAAAATTTTTGTAAAAAATTTAAAGTACTAATTTGGGGTCAGAGCAGATCATAAGCTAGGGCTCTTTTCAAATTTTTGACATGGCCTATTTTTAGCCTAATATATATATACATGACCCCAACCCAAACACTCAGTTGATGTCACAGCACCTCTTAGCAGGCTGGTAAGAAGTACTGCTACTGATTTAAAGATTAAGACTTCCTACATTTATATTATATATAACTTTTATAATCCTACTATTTTCACTTATTTTTTTATAAACTAATCAATAAAAGATTACTGATGTTCTTTTGATGTATATTTAATTAAGCTTTTTTATGTATTATTAAGAGTAAATTAGTTTCAGGCAGTTACAGCAACAAGACTTTATTTTGACATAATCTATAAATCAGTAATATAAATACAAACATAGAAATCTATGTTGATTGTATAAAAAGATGTTTTTAGTTTCCAAGTGATATACAAAAAGTTTTTTTGTCAAAGACTAATCTAATTAATAAAGCAGAATATATAAGGAATCATAAAATTTCCAAAACTCAAAAATTAAATAACAAATTTATTTGATTATGGCATTGTAATTATTGTTATTATAAGATGTAGTGGGCTATGCATAAAGACTCACTTCTTGCAAATATTTTATAAAAAAATAAAATAAAATTTTAATGAAATGATTGAATATAGTTGAGTTTTAATTATATTTAATTTCAGCAGTTACTGCTAAATTTAACATGTCGCAAAAATAATATAATCTGAAACAGTTTACTAATATTGCCATTAGTGAAGGTTTCTGAGGGTTTGGGTTTTGATACTATATAGGTATGAAGGATTTTTGCAGCAAAAATAATAAATTTAAATTTATTATTTTATTCATAACGTATTTTATTGCTGCAGAGTTTTTTTATTGTGTCTCTTGTTTTTCAAATAAAAAAATTAGGACAATATTATGTGGTACACACGCGCTCACACTTTTTGAAAAATTGTTAATTAAAAAGTTGAATAAAGTAGTTTTTCTGTAATGAATAAGGTTAGTGTGCCAAAAAAGCTCATCAGCTGTAGTAAAATAAAATTAGGCGTTCAGATGGCTCAGTTAAGCAAGGCACCTTCTATTTAGTATATTATCTAAGAAAGTTTCAGGGTATGTCTCTTGGATTAAAGCCGTCTTGAAAATTTTTATTGAGCATGTCTTTATATCTAATAATTAAAGCAATACATTTTTTAGTAAAGTGTAGGACGTATGTTGTGAAAATAAAAGAAAAAAATGTTTAGAAGAATTGACATTTTTAGTACTTTAGCAATGCAAAAAAAACTTCTTTGCCAATGTGCACTTTAACATATTTTTCACACATTAAGTTTTTAAAATGACAACTTTAAATTAGACAGACATTTTTCAGAAGAAAAAAAAAAGAAAAATGGTGAAAAATTTTCGGTGTTGTAAAAGTACTTCACAAACTTTTAGTCAATACATGGACTAAAGCATGATGACTATTTCGATCCTGCAGATGGCTATTTCAGTTTAACATTGTTAATGATGTTTCATGCAAGGCTAAGACTGCAAAGATGTTTGTACATATAAATTCTTTTTTATATGTACAATTTATAATGTTTTTTAAATACATATAAATAACTATTTAAAAGCATTATTATACCACCAATTATATGCTTCTGTTTCAAAACAGTTTTCAGAAAGACAGTTTTTTTTTTGTATAAATAAGACTCATCTTATTTTGTATAAATAATACACTTAAAAAAAAGGTTATTTGTAAGATGATTAACTAATATTGTTTCTGCTCTCTGAGATATAACATTAACAAATAAAGTTTATTTGCAATTACAGTAATGAATTAAAAAAAAAAAAAACACCAATTAAAACTATGCAAAAGTAAACAAATAAAACTTAATCTATAATGCTTTTAAATTTTGCAATGCAGTGTTGTTTTATTTTTAAAATAAAAAAACTTTAATTAGCTAATTCTCATTCATTTTAATAATTAACACCTTTGTTCTTAATTAAATATATAGATTAGTTTGAAGAAAATAGTTTTTACAGCATAAAAAAATAAAACATTTCTACATTAAAAAAAAAAAAGAAAAGAAAAAAATAGAAACCTCTCTATTACTTATATTGTAATTGAATTTTGTTAACAAAAAATTTGTTTAAGTAAAAAATTGAAGAACAATTACTGAAATTATTGGATAAACAATTGAAGATTTTATACAACAAGGTTGATAAATGGTATGCTAAATAAAAGAATAATAACAATAAAACAGTATGTTTGAATATGTTAAAAATGATATGTTATAGCAAATATTTTAATAATATTATCTAAAAATAAATTTTAAAATTTATTTTTAGATAATATTAATTACTGTTTTGCTTTTTCTCTCAAAAAAATTAAAATCAGAAAAAGTAACTTATGTCTCTAGGTGTACAGAATAACTTTATTTAAAAATAACATATTAAAAAAAAAATTAATTTTTTAATTTTAAAAGAAAGTCTTTTAAATAATAAAATTCATCAATCAATCAATATTATTTTGGCTACATTTTTCTAATGATGTTTCAATTACTCATTCAAGTTTTTTAGTTAAAAACTTGACTAAAAACCTTTTTTTTTTACCAACTTTAAAATTAATTATAATTTATGTCTCACTCTAAAAAAATATCGTAATGTAAACATGTTTTTTTTTTAAAGTTAATATAGAAAACCGGAAAAAGTTTAAAAACTTAAAAAATACTTTTTTAAATTGATAAATTGCTTGCCCAAACCAAAACCCTCAGTTGATGTAAGGATGCATCAGTCAATGTTAATAAAATTCTTGCATGTTCCACCTATATAAGTCAGTCAATGTATGTACACTCCATTTATTTAATAGAACTTTTAGTGCAAGAATGAATAGTTCAATTTGTACACAGGCTTTTTTTCTAACATTTTCCCTTGAATTTGTCATTTATAATTAGTTTAAAGTTAATATTAAAAAAATATATATTATTTTTAGTCTATAAGTCTTCTCAGGAAAGGTGTCCAGTCGAACGCCTTTTATGACCATGCACGCAGCATTTTGTCTTGATAATTTGCCTGTTTTAAAAATGCGCTGAAAAAACTAAATTGACGAGAAAATTAAAATTAAACAAACCATATACTTAAAAGAGAAACAAATCTTGACAAATAATAAAATAATTAAACCAGTAAAATAAAAACATAAAAGCAATGTATTTTTTTGGGGGCCTCAGTTTATAGATTAAAGTTAATATTTTTTTAAAAAAATTAAAAATTTTAAATATTTTTTTTTAAATACTATATTAATGAGGCCGCCATTGTTTTTGTGGCGTTGGAGGAAGGCTCAAACCCTTTATTTGCTTAGGTAGACTTTGGTAAATATCAAAGTTTCCAATTTTTAAATAATAAAGTTTTGAAGTAATTAAGCCTAGATTAAATAACTTTGAAACATTGATGTTTTCTCAAATCCATGAAGTGAAACAGTTTTAAGTTAAAATAAAATGTTATACTTTTACTTTTTTTTACTTACTGGTTATCTTTAATTTATTTTATTATTCGTTAAGAGGTTTTCGTGATTCATATAATTTGAAATATTTTAAGTTGTCTGTCATTCGTTATCTTGCTCTATAAATCTTTTTCTCTTACATTAACTTCCAACTCTAATAGTGGTTGCTTGCAACCTTGTTAGAAGTAAAAAAAAAAAAAACACGACAAAAACAAGTAAAAAAAACTTGGTTTTTTTAAAAATATATTTATAAATACTCTATTTGTAAAAAGAAAAACAAATTGTATTAATAAAAAAATCTAACATTTAAAATTGTAGCAATAATAACAAATAATGTTATGCAATTTTCAACTATTGACATTTTTCAAACGAGCATTTGCAGAAGTAAATAATTTTCTTTAAGTGTATGTGTTTTTCTGCAGACATTTTTTAGAAAAGATAAAAACAAATAGAAATTTATTATAATATTTTATATACTAAGGTCCCCACCCTTATTTAATTTACATGATTACACAAAGGAAGTAACATGCACAGAAGTATGTTTAAAAAAAAGGAAAACAACTATTTTTTTCGCTAAAATAATAAAGGGCTCAGAGTTTTTGAAATTCATTTTATTTTTTTGTCACTTTTATTACTTTGTGTTAGTAAATGAGTATTAATATACGATAAGTGATAAAATATTGTATTATAGTAGCTTTTTTATTTGAAAAAATACATCATTGGCTAATAAACTAATTAACTTGTATTACTGTATATTTCATACTATGTATACTACAGCTTGTAGCATGGGTGTTATTTTATACTTTGCTTTATTATTATATTAATTATATATATAATTAACATAGTTAATAGAGAGAATCTTAATTAATTTTGATAAAATTAATAAATTGTATGATAATAAGCATATATATTGAATATGAAAAAAAAGTATGGTGAAAAAAAATATGGGTGTAAGAATATATTGTAAGAGATATTTTAAAAACCAATCAAATAGCAAAAGAAAAAAAATATAATAAAAAATGATCTTAAAAATGAGCTCTTGCATTATTATATATTTAGATAAAAGTAGAATTTTCTTTTCAGCAATATATCTTTTGAATATTTTAAAATATTAGACACTCCTCTGGGCTAATAATAGTAATCTATCCCCATTATAAGAATGTTAAAAAAATATTCTTACACTTTTACTAGTGTTAATCAATCGTGATAACTTGTTGCAGTGTTTGGGTGATCTGATTTTTTTCTTTTTTAGTTATAGGGTGATCAACTTTTTAGTATTAAGGTGACCCACTTTTAGAATGTTGAAATGATTTTGATTAATATATTTTAAGCATTTAGAATGCATAATTTTAAACTCATTCATTCAAAGTTTGTAGATGACATCATTTTAATTATAACTTAATAAATTAAATTAATTATAGTTTATAGAATTTATTATATTATTTTGAATTATATTAGAATTTTTTTAGTATTAGTTAGATGCTACTTATAGTAATAGTGATGGTGCGATCAGTTGATACCATAGTGATGGTGTAATCAGTTGTTTAATTAGTTGAGTTCAAGATAGAGAGATTAAAAACTAGAAGTTTTAAACAAGACGAAATACTTATTTGAGAAAATGTTTACTTCTTATGATATTAAAAGACTTACTGAAGCTGCCAATTTGCCAGGTTTCTTAAACTAGTAATATATATATATATATATATATATATATATATATATATATATATATATATATATATATATATATATATATATATATATATATATATATATATATATGTATATATATATATATATATATATATATATATATATATATATATATATATATATATATATATATATATAAATATCTACTATAGCATATTTATATGCGCAATTGCTCACTTTTTTTGCTAGCCTAAATTAAGTGAGCGTTTTTAGAAAACGATGAGGGAAAACAAAGAATAATGAATGAAAAGGTTGCTAACCCATACCAAACCCTCAGTCAATGTAGCAGCACTCCACTGCGAGTCAGGCTATTTGTCAGTCGATGTATGTACTGAAGCCCCCGACAGCCGGCTATTTGACGTTAGGTCAATATTATTTTGGCTACATTTCTCTAATGATGTTTCAATTACTCATTCAAGTTTTTTAATTAAAAATTTGACTAAAAACCATTAGTTAGGTGAGCATCATCATGCTCACCTAACTCAGCAGTAAAAGATATATATATATATATATATATATATATATATATATATATATATATATATATATATATATATATGTATATATTAAAATGCTTAAATCAAATTATTAAAATTAAGTTGAACTAATATAGACCTTATAATAAAAATACAATAAAAATGCAATTAAAAATGTTACAAATGTTTTAAAAAGATAAAAGAACTGGTAATGTTATAAGGAACTAGATTGAAATTGTCATTTTTACATGGTTCATTTGTTTGTTAATAGTGGGTTTTTCCCACTCTATGTACATGCTTTTTTTGAGTTTTAATATAAATTTGTTGGAGGCCGAATCCAAAAATTGAAAAACTAGCATGATTAAAACTATTAAAACAGCTTTTATTTGAATGAATATGTTTATAAATGTGTGAATTTTTATCTCTTTTTTGGTGCTCGATTATTCGTGTCTTTAAATGGCCAGTAGTTTTGCCAATATAACAGGACTTACAACCTGCACATTTAAATTTATAGACAACAAATGAGTTAAAGTCTGTAGGAAAGGGATCTTTTGTGGAAAAAAATTTTGAAATTTTAAATGAAGTAAAAACCAATCTTACTGTGACCGATTTACAATATCTTTTAATGAATGCGTTTAGTCTTTATTTGGTTAAATCAGATATTTTTCCAATATAAGGAATTTTAAAATATTGATAATTTTGTAGGTTTTATGAACGTGATTTTGACATTGGTGTTGTTAATATAAGAGCTATGGATTTTCTTAATTATCCAAGACGGGTACAAGTTGCGTTTGAGAACTTTAAAAAGATCGTTAATATCATGACTAAGACCGAGACTAGTGTTGTTTATTTTATAAGGTCTATCAATTAAGCATTTAACCAGACTAACTTTGTATGAAAATGAAGTAAAACTAAAAAAGTTTTAAAATTACATATATTTAATTTTAATAAAAAAATACTTTTCATATTACATTTAAAAAAATGTAATACAAATTTATTTTATTTTCGAATTTTAGTTTTTTAAGTTTATTTGTTTCATTTTCTGTATTTTTACAATTTTCTTTTTTAAGAAATGTTTTTTTTTTAAATTTACAGCACACAAAATATTATATGTGTGGTTCTGACTTCATAAAAAGTAAAATTTTTATTAGGTTTCATTAGGCATATCTGCCAAACCTAAGTATTTATCAGACAAATTGTCCAGAACAAAAAAGGTTTCGAGCCTTGTTATCTCAAAAAGTTATTTCGAGCCTTGCATGTGTATATGTGTATATATAAATATATATATATATATATATATATATATATATATATATATATATATATTTATATATTTATATATATATATATTTATATATATATATAGTATAGTCGAAAGAGTCTTTTAATGTAAAAAAAGTCTCTTTTGACTACAATTTTAATTACCTCGTCTCTTAAGCTGTATTTGATTGTCGTCGAAATGTCAAAGCAATTAAATTAATGCGGAAGTACATTAAATTTTATTGCTTTTTAAAAATTTTTTAAAAAACCGCAATAATAATGACTAGAAAGTTATTTTTAATTAGTGGTGTTTTGTTTTTGTTTTATTAAAAAACATTTTTAAAACATGCGTAAATGTTGCTACATCAACTATCTTATAGCCTGTTGCTACAAGGGAGTGTTTCTACATTGATTATCTTATAGCCTGACTCGCAACGGAGTGCTGCTACATCGACTGATAAATAGCCTGACTCGTAAGGGAGTGCTGCTACATCGACTGACAAATAGCCTGACTTGCAAGGGAGTGCTGCTACAACGACTGACAAATAGCCTGACTCGCAAGGGAGTGCTGCTACATCGACTGAGGGTTTGGTTTGGGCAGGCAGTCTATCATTTAAAAAAAAAAAATTCAAGTTTTTAAATTTTTTCTGGTCTGGTTAATTAACGCGCTCTTTAAAACTACAGTTATTGGGAAACTCTTTCTGACAACCATGCAAGAGTATATATATATGTATATATATATATATATATATATATATATATATATATATATATATATATATATTTATATATATATATATACATATATATATATATATATATATATATATATATATATATATATATATATATATATATATATATATATATATTTATATATATATATTTATATATATATGTACATATATTTATATATATATATATGTATATATATATATATATATTTATATATATATATATATATATATATATATATATATATATATATATATATATATATATATATATATGTATATATATATATATATATATTTATATATATATATATATATATATATATATATATATATATATATATATATATATATATATATATATATATATTTATAAATTTATTATTGCTCTGTTCTTTAAGAACATTAATTCTATTTGTAAAATACACTGACATAATATATATATATATATATATATATATATATATATATATATATATATATATATATATATATATATATATATATATATATATATATATATATATGTATATATATATATATATATATATATAGGCCTCGGTGGGAAGCAAGAGCTTTAGCTCTCGCCCACACTCTATTGAAACGGTTTACGAGAGCTATTTATGGCTCTCGCAAAAGTATAACTTTTCTCATAAAAATATAAATATCATTTTAAATAAAATAAAAAACACAATGTCATTTTAAAAAAATTAATTGCATAATATACTGAAATGCTTTTTAAAATGTCATGTTTAATGCAAAAAAAATTAGAAATAAAAAATAGCGCCGATTTAAATAAGGAGCAGCTCGCACAGCTCCCCAAGTTTGTTTTAGGAGAGCTTTTTTTCACTCTCGTACTCATTTATTCTCATATATACATATATATATATATATATATATATATATATATATATATATATATATATATATATATATATATATATATTTATATATATATATATATATATATATATATATATATATATATATATATATATATATTTATTCTCATATATATATATATATATATATATATATATATATATATATAAATATATATATATATATTGAGAGAAAGAGAGAAATGTGACACGTTTTTTTGGTTCTTGTTTTTTGTTTATTTTTTTGGGAAATATTTAAAAATTTATTAATTAAGGTTATAAGATCAACTTTAATGGCAATATCTTAGTTCATATTTTAATTTCAGATTTAAATACGACAATTAATACTTAAATTTACTGAAATTCATTTTATTTTGGTATGCAAAATGGTTAACACATTTGGAGCAGTCTTGTATAAAAACTTCTTAGAATATTTTATGTTTCTAAATTTTATCTTAATTGGTTTTAGTGTTTTATATAGACACAATAAATACTGTTTATTTACATTTATTATATTTAATAACATTTAATATTTGATATTTATATATATGTATATATTTATTTAATTCTGATTCACCGCAACAAGATTGCAAGTAACCACTGTTAAGTTGGGAGTTACTAAGAAAAAAAACAGAGCAAGGAAACGGTTAACAGAAGACTTAAAGAGATATAGATTGTATGAGTCAGGAAAAAATGAAGATAGGAGAGAGTTCCAAAGGGTTGGAATGCAGGGTAAGAAACCAGATGAAAAATTTTTTTAGAGCATGCAGTGACAGCTAATGTATATAAATGAGACTAGTTGGACCCACTTAGGTAGACTAGATCCAACTACAATTACAATGCTTTCTTTCTCTTCTAGACCTTGTCTAGAAGAGAAAGAGCATCATTAGAAGAACCAGCCCAAATTGTTGTAACTGTGTAATCTGGTTCTTGGCAAATATGGATGTACAACATGTCAGCATTTTTCCAATACAGTCCATGGAGTGACGATTGCAAAAAAACATTCTTGTTGTTATTTTCATGGACATATATTTTATGATTATTACAAATGATTATAGTTCTTGTTATTTGTGATTGATTTAATTGAGTTTTTCCTTAAGCAGCAGTATTCCTTTTTAATGTAGCCATAACACAAATATATATATATATATATATATATATATATATATATATATATATATATATATATATATATATATATATATATATATATATACCATACAGGGATAAAAAATGATTTGTAGAGGTAGATAATGAAATCAGGAGTTTGAAAATGGCAAGGACGATAAATTACATGAAAGGTAAATAGTAAATGATAATCCAAGAAATGTAAATAGACTTGGTGAGAGGGTTGCCATTTATTAATATAGGAATGTTGACAGTATTGTGATAGTTGTTTGCAGTAAATAACTGAGTTTTGTTGGAGTTAAATATATTTATATGCCTTTAACCCTCCTTTAGATAAAAAATCAAATGTCAGTTTTTTTATGTGCTGTGGTTATCATTTGTTAATAATTTAAGTTAATTTGTCTAATATTTCATTCATCATTTTCTATTCGACTGGTCCCTAATATTGTTTTAGAAAAAATTCCTTTTAAAAATAGATGAACTTACTGAAAAACTTAGCATTTAAATGAAGGAAAATTTTATATAAATCCAAAAAAAAATTGTAAAAAAAGATATCAAAAAACTTATAGAAATCATGTTTTTTATTTTTGATATAAAAACTGTAATTTTTCTGCAATAGAATCAAAAAAAAAAATAACACAAAAGATAACCACACCACATTAAAACATTGAGTTGTGATTTTCTATCTAAAGAAGTTTTAAGGCACCATAGTATCTGTATAACATACTTATATAGAGAGAAAATGGATATTTTTAAATTATTGAGTGATTTCTTCTTGTTCTTCTTGTTGGTAATCAATTATGATAAAGCCCTCCATACAAGGGGCAGAAATAAAACCTTAGTTGCCCATTTATTTAAACCTCTGAACCAATTTAGCAAAATGGAAAAAGTTAAATTTTTTTTTTGCCATAAGATTATATCTAAAAATTGAACTTGGGCAACAAAGCATGTTAAAATGTTTTGTAAGTGTCCTTATATAGTACTATATGAAAATATCTAGATGGAAAAATAAATTATGAATCATTATATGGAGGTGGTCTGGGAAACTCAGTATATAAAGATAATTCAATTTTTTTAAATTTTCCTTGAAATAACGCTCAGTATAGGAATTTTTTGATAAGGGCCTACTAGCAATATATATTTTTTTGGCAAATACAACAAACAAATTAAATTACTAAACAATATACAAATGCTCAAAGAAATAATTAATCTTGATAGATTACTTATTTCTTTGAGCATTTGAGGTCTGATATTAAATTGGCATGATATTATATACTGATATATTTACATTATCAAAATTAAATTGATAATTTTCTTATAAGGTAAGAATAGTTTCTATATATACTAAGAGTATCACAATTGTTAGTACAGTATGACAAATAAACATTTCCATACAGTATGTCTAGATATATAACTAACTTATAGCTAATTTAATTTTTTATTAAAAGTATAAGTTAATTGGTGTTTATACATGTAATTGTGCTTTTAATGATCATATATTAAAAATATACTAGAATAAAGGAAAACTATTTCAAAATTTATGCCAAAAACCCCTAAAAAGCTGCTTTAAATTAAGCAGGAAAACACCAAAAAAACTTTCTCTTTCTCTCTCTCTCTCTCTCTCTCTCTCTCTCTCTCTCTCTTATATATATATATATATATATATATATATATATATATATATATATATATATACTCATATAGTGTCGCTTTAAGAGCATTTTAATGTAAAAAAAGTCTCTTACGACTACAATTTTAATTACCTCGTCTCTTAAGCTGTTTTTGATTGTCATCGAAATGTCAAAGCAATTAATTTATGCGGAAGTACATTAAATTTAATTGTTTTTTAAAAAATTTTTAAAAAACCGCAATTATAACGACTAGAAAGTTTTTTTTAATTAGTGGTGTTTTTGTTATTGATTTAATAAAAAACATTTTTTAAACATGCGTAAATGTTGCTACATCGACTATCTTATAGCCTGACTCGCAACGGAGTGCTGCTACATCGACTGACAAATAGCCTGACTCGCAACGGAGTGCTGCTACATCGACTGACAAATAGCCTGACTCGCAACGGAGTGCTGCTACATCGACTGACAAATAGCCTGACTCGCAAGGGAGTGCTGCTACAACGACTGACAAATAGCCTGACTCGCAAGAGAGTGCTGCTACATCGACTGAGGGTTTGGTTTGGCCAGGCAGTCTATCAATTAAAAAAAAAAATTTAATATTTAAAACTTTTTCTGGTCTGGTTTATTAACGCGCTCTTTAAAACTACAGTTTATGGGAAATATTTTTTGATGCTACGCAAGAGACATGCAAGACTATATATATATACATATATATATATATATATATATATATATATATATATATATATATATATATATATATATATATATATATTTATATATATATATATATATATATATATATATATATATATATATATATATATATATATATATATATATGTATATATATATATAGGTATATATATACAGGGGTCGAAATGAGACCTGCTAGATGAGGGCAACAAACCATTGTTCATTTTTGCAGTAAAAATGAACAATGGTTGGTTGCCCTCATCTAGCAGGTCTCAAAAATGGTCTGAGGGGCGGCGATGTCCGGCACTTATTTCGACCCCTATATATATATATATATATATATATATATATATATATATATATATATATATATATATATATGTATATATATATATGTATATATATATATATATATATATATATATATATATATATACATATATATATATATATATATATATATATATATATATATATATATATATATATATATATATATATATACAACCCTTGGAATTAGATAAAATGAGGTTGGCAATAATTTGCCGACCTCAATCTTTTTGAGGTTGGCATCAGGTCGGCAAAAATTATTTGATACAAAGGGCTGACCATAAAACATAGAAACAAGGTCGGCAATTTTTTGCAGACCTCAAGCACTTTCAGGTCGGCATAGCCTAATGCAGATCCTAATTCTGAGAGTTGTATGTATATATATATATATATATATATATATATATATATATATATATATATATATATATATATATATATATATATATATATATTTACATATTTATTGTTCTAATTTTCTTTAAAATTGTTTTTTTTTAATCAAAGAGTTTGAAGATAAAAATATTCTCTATCCACTTCTTTCGAAAGCTGAACGAAAGGTTTTTATTTAGTTATTATTTATATTATCTTATTTATTATCACTTTGACACAGGAAAAAGGTTTAAGGGTTGAAAAAATGTGAAGTAGTGTTTATTTATATTTTCTGGGATCAGTAAAAACTTTATATGGTTCTGTAAGGACAAGCGTATGGTATAATATTCACTAAGTAAACATTATTTTAGAAAGAAGAAGACAGCTGGTATTAAACCCCCAATTCACCTCTAAGTTTTTTTATTACAGCTATTTTATTACATTTTTGTCTGAAAAAATTGATTTTTCAGATTTCTTGTCATGTGTCCCTACTCTAGATACTTCTCCTTTTGGATGGAATTACTTTGACATTAAATAAACATTTAAATTATTAGAATATTCTTAAAAATAACAAAAATCTGGTGAATAGACAGATTGCTGCTTCTGTAGAAATTCAAAGAATATGGAGAGGTTACAGAACAAGGTAAACTATTTGAGTTTAAAGAAAATTTTTTTTTTTAATTTATGCTAAAACATATATTATGTATTTTGTTGAGTTGTGTTGTTGTTTGGAGTATTTGATTTTGATATGATAAATAGATTAATATTTAAGTGATGCTAACAAGATCATTAGGCAAATAGTTATTGTTACTAATAAACAGGAGTGTGGTCTACATTTTAACAATTTAAATGTAATATTTTATTATGAAATATTTATAAATGATATATTTAGCTTGAATTTTACTTCAATTTTTGTTATATAAATGTTATTTATATTATAATAGTTGTTTTATTATTTTTTAACATTTTTTATTCAAATATTTAAGGGTTTTTTTTTAAACTTTACCTTTTAGAAAACTAATTTTCTCATTAGTTGGTTCTGATTCTAATGTTTCTTATGGATCTCTATCAACTAAAAGTTTATCTGAAGAAATAGCTGTTTCTGAAGTGGTTTTAACAAATAGATTATCAAATGACAGTCAAATGGTTAGAATTTTTTAAACAAATTTTTTGTTTATTTTTATGTCAAAAATGATTTCAACAACATATTGGACAAAATATAAGCTGAAGAATTTTATACACAAAACTAATTTTGTAGATTTAGCATACATGACAAGGAGTGTAAATGTTCCCTATAAATATGAAGTCCAGTTAAAACTGGGATAAGTTACAATAGCACATTTTTTTAAAAAAGTTTGACCTTTAATTATTAAAAAAAAAAAAAGTCAAAAGTTGACATTTATGTTTTTATATAAAAATTAAATTGTTATAAAAATCTAAGATAAGTTATACAAATTTATATACAAAATAAGTTGTACAAATTAATATCATAGTTTAAAAAATAATATATACAAAATAAGTTATACGGAACTGGGTTTGCCGGAATCGTTGAAAAAATTGTGGCCGGTACGAGATTTATATTTATGTAGTTTTTTAACTTCAAGATTGAAAATGAAAACCTGTACCTCAGCATGGTGGCTACATAATATATATTTATAACCTATAATATATATATATATATATATATATATATATATATATATATATATATATATATATATATATATATATATATATATTTAAATTTAAATTTAATTAAAATATAAAGCATAAAACAGCAGCTGCATACAGACTAATTTTTTCTTCGTAATATTTCGTGTAATAAGACTGTCTATGTACCCATTAGGTTTATATCTTCTAAGTCCTTATTCTAAATCAATAAAATTAAAATCCTCATGTCTCAAAAACTGTAAGGAATTAGATTCATAAACTTTTAGGTAATCTCAATTTTCATCAGCCCTTTATATCTAAAAATTAGCAAAACCCCAAATATTAGGTGCCATTTTGTTTTTTCCGCTGCTCTGACAATGAATAAACCTCTTTTTTTTCTCTTTTTTTTTTTTTTTGTTATATTAATTTGTTTTTTAGTTATTTTTTATAATATAAATTCTTAAATATTTTTAGAATGCGCCACAGGTAAAATTGAATTATAAACTTAATGATGAGATTTTTCATAATGACATCAGTTCAGAGGAATATAAACTTCTGTAAGTAAAATAAGTCGGCCATTGTTTTTTTTGTATACTTTCTTAACTATAATTTTTTGTTATTAATTATTAAATTTATTAATTATTTATTATGGTTTATAATTAATCATTTTAAACTATTATTAACAATGTTGGTACAACCCTTGGAATTAGGAAAAATGAAGTTAGCAATAATTTGCCGACCTCAATCTTTTAGAAATAGGCATCAGGTTGGCAAAAAAAATACAAAAGTCTTACCATAAACATAGAAATGAGGTCAGCAGTTTTTTGCCAACCTCAAACATTTTTAGGTGGGCATTGCCAAATGCCGACCCTAATTCCAAGGGCTGTTGGTGTATATATGGTTCAAATGCAATGGAAATTTTTTTTTACCTTTGAAAATCAGATTGCATTTAAACAAATTTCTACCAAACAACTTCTGTCCTAAAATAATTTCTCCCTTTCATCTCATTGTTTAAAAAAAGTCTTTGTGCAACTTTTAGTAAAATAATCTATTTAGAACTAAGTTTTTGAAACAAATTTGTACTGAAAATTTTAGATTTATTAAGTTTGCAACTATGAAATACTTTTTCTATAAAGCATAGCCACAAGAAATTGTATCAAGTTTAATTAATTTCTATAAAGCATAGCCACAAGAAATTGTATCAAGTTTAATTAACAAAATATATATATATATATATATATATATATATATATATATATATATATATATATATATATATATATATATATACACACACACACACATATATATATATATATATATATATATATATATATATATATATATATATATATATATATATATATATATATATATATATTAGTTGTAGTATACTTGCAGATTGCACAAGTATTCTACTGGTTTTATTTTTAATGTTTGGGTTCGGTATCGCTCATTCAAAAATTATTTTTCTTACACTTTAATATTATTTCTGGTTTTTTTTAGTAACAGTTACTACAATCTTAATATATTTTGGAAACTAAATATTTAAATTAAGAGTATTAATCTAGAAAAAAAATGTTTTGTGGAAACGCGTACGGTTAGACCACGCCATAATATTTTCTTAGACAAATTGACCGTGGCCGTTTGCATACTTTGAAATATTAAATGTTTCAAACAATTAACAGAACAAAATTAAGTTAACCTGAACATAAAAAAATAAAAATAAACTAAAGGAAATTAAAAAAAAAATTATAAAAAAAATAAACTAAAATTCTAAAATAATAAGTGTAAAACTAAAATAAAACTCAGTCTAAGAGAAAATTATCTAAACGTTATAGTTAACGTTAATTAACTAACTTCAAAACTTTGATTTTTTAAAAACGATTTTATATTACAGTGTAACAACACAAAACTGTTATATACACAAACAAAAGTTAGTGTAAGTGTATATACAAAAACAAAAGTTTGTGTAATTTACACAAAACTCTTTTGAATAAAGCAACAAATTACTTTTAATCAATGTTTGTTTCATCAAAATATTTATTTAAATTACCATAAAATATTAAATGTAATAAAAGTGATTATTTGTTTAAAAGTATGTATTCTTTGTTATTAATATTTTAAAATAACTATTAATTATATGTATATATATTATGAGAAAAGCCATTAAATAATAAGAAATTACTTCAAACGATTGCTTATAATAAAAAATTTTATTTAAATTATCAAAGAGTAATTTATTTGTTTCATGTTTTTATAATGTTCAAAGAAACTTTTCTCTTTTTTATACAGTTTTTAAAACTTTATTACTACCCCTAACAATAAACCTAAAGAACATTATTTTTGCTCAGCAATGTTAACTTGATATTAGTTAAAATCTTTTGAAAAAGTGCGTTAATCCACTATAGATCCTAGCGTTTATAATTAATTTTTTTATTTCCGTATTCTTAGTTAGAATTTAAAGCTTTGAAACTTTGACATTTTCTACAAATTTTTTTAATATGAATTTTTAATATGATTTTTTTTTTTTTTAACTTATATTTTTATTATTTTCTCTTTCGATAAAAATGTTTACAGATTTTATTTTATGGGTGGCCGCACAAGGCGAGCGGTCGCACACGTATCTTGTAACAGCCTGCTCTTATATACAAATTGTACCTGCCAAAATCTTAATCTAGCTCGACGTATGCATTGAAGTTCTACTTATTTTAGTATGGTTTCATCAGTAACTCACTTCATGCACTGGTATATCTGAATTTATAATTATATATATAATATATATATAATTATAAATTCATTGGAACTTATAATGGAATGTAACAGTTGGATATTCAAAAGTAACACTTACTTTTTATTATTGTCAGTTGATGTTCTGAGTATTTGAAAAAAAAAAAAAAATTATAAAATCTTTGACTGACCCCCATTCATAGGTAATGAAGAGTCTAACCATAGCTTTGGATTGTTGCGTTATTCAAAAAAAAGATTTTTCCTTACTTATAGGTAGTATTTGGAAAATGAAAAAAGATCCACCAAATAAATAAAAGATCATCTCACTAAATTAAAATACTAGTTGCGTTCAAAATAAATAGAAACAACAACTTTATTAAAGGCTAAAAGAGATTTGTAAACAGGATGACAGAGTTAGCCCTGATGTTGTCTAATAAGAACTATTTTTGTGTGAATTCCTTTTGTTTACTTGCTCTTATTTTGCCTACTTTATACTACTAACTTTAATAAATATATATATTAAAGTTAATTTTACATACAGTGGCATGCAATAGTAACCAGTTTAGTAATATTAACTATTACTATGCAATAGTAATAGTTTCTTTCAAATTTTCACTGGAATGTCAAAAAATTGATAACAATTCTGAAAACAAATGAATTTTTGCTAAATTTAAGCAATATAATCTTAAAAAGTTCATTTTATTGAAATATGCGCTTGCAAAAGTATCCGGGTAGAAAAAAATACTTGAAGTAGTTTTTTTTTAAACATTTTTTAAATTAAAAATGTTGTAATTTGAAGTAAATTTCTTTAATACTTCGTCGGGAAACCCTTAGCATTGATTACTGCTTGACAGCGACAAGGCATTGAGTCCACCAGCTTCACAATCATATTATTGTCGATTTTTTCCCATGCTTGTTTCAGATTTTTAAATAAATCATATTTATTTGTTGGTTTACGACCTAAAATTTGACGATGAAGTTGTTCCCATAGATGTTCAGTAGGATTAAGGTCAGGACTTTGTGAAGGCCATTCCATTAATCGAATTTTTTTGATCTTGAAAAAGTCTTTCACAAGAGTTGAAGTGTGCTTTGGGTCATTGTCCTGCTGAAATATCCATCCTCAAGGCATTTTGTCTTTAGCATGTGGTAACATAACATCCTTAATAATATCTTTGTACATTTTTTTGTCCTTTATGCCATCAATCAAATGGATAGGACCGACACAATCTCCATTGAAGCAACCCCAGACCATAATGTTTCCACCCCCATGCTTTACTGTTGGTATTTAGGATCATTTCTATGGCCTTTTGATTGACAAACATATCTAATACCATCAGATCCAAATAACATAAACTTAGATTTATAACTAAAAAGTACTTTCAACCATTGTTCTCTTGACCAATTCAAATGTTCCTTAGTAAATCTCAAGCGTACTTTTCGATTTTTCATAGAAATAAAAGGTTTCTTTGCAGGACGTCTTCCAAACAGATTTGCAGACCTCAAACGACGCATGTCAACACTAGATTTTACTTTATAAAATTCTTTCATTTCAGCATTTAACAGCATTTTTGCGTGGATCATTTTGTGCGGCACAAACTAAAATTTTATCTTGTCTTTCAGATGAAATTCGAGGCCTACCTGACTTTTATATATATCTGCTACTGTTGATTTTCCTATATCAAACTGATTTGTTATGTCTCTTTTAGTTCTGCCTTGTTCAATTGCACGCAATACTGCTTCTTTGACAGCTAAACTTGTATATTTTCGCTTTGTCATTTTAAAAATTTATTCAAAACAATCTTCTTTTAATTAAAAATACTTTATGCTTTTTTTTTACCATTTTTAAAAATTATATAAAAGCCAACAAAAGTATTGCAATTTTATTATTTTAGTTCTGCCTGGATACTTTTGCATGCGCATATTTCAATAAAATGAACTTTTAAGATTATATTGCTAAGATTTAGTAAAAATTTTAGTTTTGTTTTTAGAATTGTTATCAATTTTTTGACATTCCAGTGAAAATTTGACTTTTCATTTAAGTTATTTCAAGTTATGCGCTTGTCTGGTTACTTTTGCATGTTACTGTATAAAGTTAATCTATATTTTAACATAAGTTATTCAATCTTTTTTCCTCAAGCAAGACTACAAACTTTTGGCATAACACTCATCAAACTTTGTATAGTGCTATCAGGAACTTTATTGTAAACTTTTCTACACTTTTTAAGTTAAAATTTCAAGTTAATTGTATAATTATATGCAATACTATTATTATAATTTATTTACATACATATACAAATATTAATATAATTACATACATGAATATAACTTGTTATATACATATATGTAATAACAAACTTTCTCCACTTTGTAGCTCGGACTCTTTACCTTGTATTTTATTCAACTTAAACTTACAGATAGTTCCAAATTTACTATAGAATGTATTTGTGGACAATTTGGTGGGTTGTGTCTTTAAGTATAATTTCAAAGTTAAGTCAATTTTTTTGTGGCTATGCTTTATTATTAGTTAAACTTGACTAAAAACAGATTTAAAATTGTTTTTGAATTTTTTGACCCAATTCATACTTTAACTATTTTTATAAGGAATGACTATATTACTATTACATTCACAAAAAATATGCCAAAAGTTATTTACTGCATTATATTATTTTATGCTTTCTAATTATTTAGATCTTTCCAAAGTTTTTGTGCTTATGTAATTCAAAAGTGGTGGCGTGAAAAGATTTCAAAAAAAAAAACAATTGAAAAGGAAGCCTTACAAACTGCAGAAAAAAATAGGTTACTTAATGCCACCAGAGCTGCTCAAATTATTCAAAAGACTTGGAGAGCTTATGTTGTTAGTTTTTTTTTTAGCCTTTTTTTTTTAACAATCATAAATTTAAACGAATTACAGATTTTTATAAAGATAGTTACATTTGGTTAGGTTACCTTTTTCTTTAAACTGTAGAATTCCCACATATTTTTTGTTTGTTTGTAGATTTAGTTTATTTGTGAGTCAGTGCATTCAAGGAGTGACCCCTAACTCTTTTTTTAATTATTTTTTATGTTTTTTTATGTATGTATCACAGCACTTTCTTATCTCTAACTCTGAAACATAATCCTTTATAAATAAGGGTGCAGTTCAAATGATTTTTGCCATTTATGTTTTTACCTAAAAATTAATTAAAAAGTTAAAATATCAGAGATTTATTATTTTTAGAAATGAAAAAACTAACAATTAACTCCTAAACTGATCTGTGTAAAAAATTTAATTTTAAGAATATTTTTTTTTAAATCAATTTGTTCCTTTATTTGTATGAACCTTGCTATCTTATTTTTTGTTTTTAATTAATAATTATTTACTAAAAAATATATTATTTTTATTTATTAATAATGTAATAAAAATGTCTTAAATATTACTTTTCCATTTTGAATTTTATAGGATTTGAGAGTTTTTAGATATTTAAAAGATTTAATTGATTTTCGTAATAAAGGAGATGGAAGATTCATGATGAAGTTTATCAATCCAAGAGAGGTTTTTATGATGCTTCATGTTTAAAGTGTTTTTTGTTTTTAATGTTTGTTTTTTTTTTCATTAATTAACTAGAGAACTAAATTAACTATTTTTCAAGACAAATTTTTGTTTAAAGTTATTTAAAAGAAATGCAAAAGCTATATGTGAGCGAAATTGCACAGGAAATCAATCTATTTTTATTAATTTTAAAATAAATAAAATTTTCAGCTGTGTCCTAAGGAATACTTATGACACCATATATATATATATATATATATATATATATATATATATATATATATATATATATATATATATATATATATATATATATATATATATATATATATATATATATATATATATATGTATATATATATATATATGTATATATATATATATATATATATATATATATATATATATATATATATATGTATATATATATATATATATTAGGTGTCCCAAAAAACAACTTTTTTAAAAAAAAGTCTGCTCCCAACCTCTAAATGTGTCTAAATGTCTGTTCCCAACCTTTAAATGTGAATTAAAAAGGTTTTTAAGGGTTAATATTATCAAAATAAAAAGTTTTTCAAAGGTATATCACGTTGGGTCTCAAAAGAAGCAACATTTTATAAAAATTTTTTATCATAAAAACAAGAAGAAGAAAAATATTATTTTTAATTTCACTGCCTAATATATATATATATATATATATATATATATATATATATATATATATATATATATATATATATATATCAGGGCTCGAATTAAGCGTATCGCGATTGCTTTTTACAGCTTCGCGATTAGTTTTTTCTTAAAACATATTTTCGCGATTGGTTTACTTTTTTTAGTTGTTTATTTACTATTTTTCTAATTTAGCTTTTTTTTTTGGCAATTCTTAAAAGTAATGTTTTCATAGTAAAGTACGTCACGCAAAGTTAGTCTTTTGAATAGAAGTATGATCATTAGTTTTGGAATAGAAGCATGATCAATTGCTCTTTCGCGGGAAGATTTTTATTCAAACTACTTTAATCTCTGCGTCGAAGCAAATTAAAAAGACAAAAGTTAAAAATTGTTTTTTCTTCATTCTATTTTTTTAACTAAACGGCATTTTTATATTTTTTTAAAAGAAACGTTGCTCCAAATTAACTTAATAATAATGATTTAAATTATTATTTTATAAACAATTTTATATAATTATTGTTACTACTTTAAGTATAATAAAATATATATAAATTTGTTTTTATTAAATAAAATTTCTATTTGTAAAATTGTGCTAAAAGAAACCAGCAACTCTTTTGCTTTCACGTTTTTCTCTTTAACGACCTTGAAACTATTGAAGTTATATTTAGTTAACTTTACTGAATAGATAGAGTATATCACTGTAAATTAACTTATAACCTAAAACAAAACAACCAGTTAAGTTAAGATAGTAACTTACAGTTACTCAAGTATTAATATAACAATTATATTAATTTATTTAATATACTTGCAAAAGTTAGCCATAGACATGTTTCAATTTAGATCTTACATGTTGTTAAAACATAATATAAGCTTTTAACTAATAATTATTTTAACAAAAATTGTCGAATAGAATATGAAAAACGCGACACCATTTTTTTATATTTTCATTTTATTTATAGCGACATCTAGACTAAACATTTTCTATAAATACGCAATTTTTTTCAGGAATTATACTGAACAAGATAATTATAAGATTATATTTAAATATGAGAGATATTATATTAAAAGTAGAACAATTATGTACAAAAGTTACAATTATATACTAACGCAACTTCCCTTCCCCCCCCCCCCCCCCCCTCATTACCGCAAAGAAGCGCAAGGTTTAAGGGGGGGGGGGGATAATTTTTTTTTTTTTTCGCAATTAAATTTTTTTGCGTTAATTCGAGCCCTGTATATATATATATATATATATATATATATATATATATATATATATATATATATATATATATATATATATATATATAGCCCTCATAATTAGGAAAAATGAAACTTGTTAAAATGCCTTAAACTCTTTGAGGTCAGCAAAAAAAAATTAGACACAAGGATTACCATAAACCAGAAACAAGGTTGGCGAATCTATGCTTACCTCAAACATTTTTAGGTCAACAGTTTAAGTTGGCATTGCCAAACTTAATTCCAAGGGTTGTATATATATGTGTGTGTATGAATATAATAAATTATACTATATAGTATGCATTATATATTATATGGTATATTATATATGTTTATTTACTGTTGTTTTATTACTAATAAGTTAAGGTATATATTGTTAATTGTTGAGAAAAATAAAGAAAAAGTTTTTTTTCTTAAAAGGCAGCTCTGATTGATAACTCTATTGGCATGCATGTTCGATTTCGATTTGGCGGAGTAAGTTTTTTATGTTATTATAATTTATTATTTTTTACATTTTTTTCAAGTTTTTTTACATTTGGTTAGTTCATTTTATTTTAAAAATGTACGATTATTTTTTTAATCAAGCAGAAGTTGGTTCACAAATTAAATTAAATTGTATTTAATTTGGTTTTAACACACACCCTTCTTTTCCCTATTTCAGTATAATCTTAATTCAGTATGATCTTATTTTAGTATGATCTTATTTCAGTATGATCTTATTATTGTAAACCTAAATCCTCAGTAAAGATTACGTTTTTTTTAGGTCACATTTCCTCCATGTATCTATTATAAAATTTTCACAAATAATGTTGCTGATGTTTGTTCGTTTTCACCAAGAAATTATAAAGATTATTATACTTCTCCTATTCCTGTAAAATTTATTCATAGTAAACAAATAGATACTAACTGTTGTCATGGTATTTTTTTAATTTTTTTTTCTAATTTTTTTATTCATTTATTCATAGAAAATGCATTTGTTTGTTTTTTCTTTAAAATATGCAGAATCTAAAGACGGTTGGTATAGACGGTTTGAAAACAATGGCTGGAGACCAGTTGTAGATAATGTGGGTTATAAGATATGTTATACATCATTTATAAATATTTAATAAAATATGTTAATATAAATTAGGGCTGTACCGGATTTAATTTTTCCAAATCCGGCCGGAGCCGGATTTGCCGGATTTCTACTAACAGATCCAGCCGGAATCGGAGCCAGATTCCGAAGCAAAACTACAGGAACCAAAATCCTGTACATCCCTACTTGGTGCTGAAAATGGTCAATAATGTTGAAAATTTAGATCACCAAGTGACAGTTGTATTCTATTAAACATTTTTGTTGTTTAAAAGTTTTATAGCAATTTCTATAGAAATTAAAAGACATTTTATATAAATTCTATAGAGTTTCTATAAGCCATATGTTTCAAAAATTTAGAGAAATTCTATAGAACTTTTTTTCCGGGATGTTGTCACTTTGCCGCTGTAGTGAATCAGCGTGTCTATATATTTCTGATTCTTCCAGATATTGGCTTAGCTAAGTGTCAATGCCTGTTGGTAATTGTTGTTCATGTGCTGTGCCACAAGCGGGCGTAGACTGAATAATTTCATCTATATATATATATATATATATATTGCCATTGTAATGATGATAATGTAAAAGAATTATCCGGCCGGGATTGTTTTGCTGGATTTTTTTAGTTTTGTCAATCTGCTGCTCAGCATGCTCATTGACTTCAATCTTGCTTTTTCACCTGTCATTGTTGCCTGTAATGAGAAGAGTTTAGTTTGAAATTATGGATCAACCAGTGTCATCACTATATAAAAAGGTTTCTCCTCAATGCCTTTAAAACGCTCATCCAATGACTTGATTAGGATTGACTTCATAGTCTTAACACCTGCATTATTGCAGAATATCGTGTGTCTTCTCTTCAGAATTTTTTGTTGCATTGTTGTTTGAAATTAGGCTTAGCTAATTAAATTGTAAAGAAACGTAAATACAGATATCAAACAAACATGAAGTTCATAAACTATAGAATTACTAAAAACATTGATTTGTAAAAATCAAATATTAAGTATACATTTTATCACGGGCAAGAAAGATGTAATAAATATCTGACCAAAATTCAGAAATCTGGCCAAAATTATGCCGAATTTGCTAACATTTTGCTGGGGCCGGATTTGGGTCAGATTTGTAAAAATGTCCGGATTTCGGCCGGAGAAGGAGCCGAAGCCGAAATTCGGTACAGCCCTAATATAAATACAATATTTCATTTTAAATGTTTATCTTTGTTTTATCGATTAAATTTTTAATTTTTTTTAAATTTATTTTAAGGCAAAGGTTTTATGGTCAAATTTATGGTCAAAATTTTTTATTAGATTTCAGTCACCTTTTCTTTTATCTGTTGATAAGACTGCATTAAGATGCTATTTAACTTTTAGGATCTTGTATGCTTCCAGTGTAAAATAACTGTTAGCTATACATCTATCCACTATGGCTAATCCATAATGAATTCTCTATACCTAGAGAATCCACTATGGATTATTAAAGGAACCAGATTAGCATTGGTAAATAATCTTTATATTTACTAGATATTAGTAGTTATTTAAAAAATGAAATTATTTTTCATAAAAAATAGAGAAGAGATAATAGATGACATCATTTGTAATATTTAAAATTAATATCAAAACATTAGCAAAGTTACAACAAAGATGCTCATCTTTGTTGTAACTTTAACACCGCTAATGTTTTGATATTATTAATATACTTTAACACCGCTAATGTTAGGTCATTGCATTTAAATAAAAATTTAAATAAAAAGATAAAAATACCAAAAAAAAATCAATGAAGATAAAAACTTGCTTAATTTTGCTGAACATTGAAATATTTCATGATTACCATTTTTTTCAAAATTGAATTAAACAAAAAAATCAATAGCAAATGTAAACATAAGTTATTTACATAGTTTGTTAAACTTTAAATTAGTCATTTCTATTAAAAACCAAGTAGAAGTAGCTATTTTCTTGTTGTAAAGGAAAGTTTCTACTATTTGGTGAGTTTATGCTAAGTTTAAGTTATTATTATTTGTAATTTTTTGAATATCTTATATTCTCAATTTACTGATTCTAATTTAGATGATTAACCAATGAGATAATGCATGATAACAGTTAATAAATAAGACAATTCATGATAAAAACTGTTAACATGATTATTAATCAAGGTAATCAATTTTTTGGTTTAGATTTTGCTGTCGTTAAAGCAAAATGAAATTTTGCAAGAAAAATCTTGTCAAAAATTTATTTTCTCTCATGAAAAGGTTTTCAGTTTCTTTATAATTGTTTTTTTATTTGAGTATATATATATATATATATATATATATATATATATATATATATATATATATATATATATATATATATATATATATGAATATATATATATATTCATATATATATATATATATATATATATATATATATATATATATATATATATATATATATATATATATATATATATATATATATATAATACATATATAAGTACATTTAAACAGCAGTGTCTTTTAAATATATTTTGTCTGTGTATTGAAAGAGATTTAAAGACAATTTTTTCGATTCACCTCACATTAAGTATATATTATTTATTGGTAACATAAACTATGCTTTTTGATAAATATTTTCTGTTCATTGCTTATTGTTGGAATTTTTAGTTGTTTTAATACTTCATAGTTCATTATTCTTTAATTTTTTATTTTTTATTTTTGCAGTTTATATCAACACAAAATATTTATTGATTCATTTTAAAAACATCTATTTTCTAAAATCCTGCCCAACCTTTATCCTTTATTATGATCTCATCAATAACATTTCATGTGTATGTATGTATAAAAAATATTTTTTATTTTTAAGTTAAAATGTTTTTTATTGTTATGATTTAGATAGTAAGGAAACAAGAAGTTGCTATAAAACGCAGGAACAAAAAAATTAAGTGGATGAAAAAATTGTAATTATTTTGTTAAAACAATTTATTTATAATAATTCATAAGATTTAATTTCTAAAAATATTTTTTTCAACTAATTACTTTTTCATTATATGTATTGCATTATGAACAAAAGTTGCACATTTCTGAGAAAATGACATCTAATAAAAAAGTAACAGAAAAAAAGTTACTTATGAGTAAGAAATTTTTTTTAGCTTATTCCTCTTATAGAAAAAATGTTGAACCCTTTTAAAAGAGAAAAAATACCTAGATAAATATTCTCCGACACAATCCATTGCATTTTTGAATGTAGCACAGCCTCAAATAATTACTTCCTTCAAAAAAAAAATCAATACCAGTTGCCATGAAATGAATAAGAAAGTACCAATGAATGATAAAATGATGACCATCAAAAAAGAATTCACCAAAGATGTATCTTTAGTGAATTCTTTCTTTGCCTGTATTAGAATTTGCGAGGACATTAAATAAACTCCTGCCTGAGTAATATATAGGAAAACTGCAATATCCAAATAATACTTGTTTAGTTATGTTTTTTTGATAAAGGGGTGTCAAAACCGTACTTTGTCCACAGCAGTGTTGCAGTTAACCAAACATTTTTAAACTTTAAATTTTAAAAATTGTTAAAACTTTATTAAAGATTATTATATTATAGTTAAAATTGTTTATTAAAGAATATTATATTGATGATGAAACTAATTTTGGTCTGACCTGCCTTCAGTACATTATGCTAAAGCAGTGATATTGTTCTTAGAAAAGATTTTCATAAAATATGTGGCTAAAGTGGATAACACTCTAAACATCCCAGAATGTTATCCAGTTAATTTTAGAGTGTTCTAAAAAGAAATGATCTATGCAAAGAGCTGGCATGCAAAAAGTATAAGACAACTTTATATTGAATAAATAGCTGCTACAGTTCAAGAAATTTAATATTAATACTAATAAAATGATTAAATACTTTATATTAATACATTTCTGTTTAATATTTAGCTTAAAATCTTTGGGAGTGACAGGAGTTTATAATTTTCACAGATTTTTATGAAACACTATATTTTAGACCTTATTTTAGATTCAATATATAGATGTATATATTGAATTTTAAATAAGGTTATTGCATGGGGTAACAGATGGAGTGTGGTACTTTCACAAGCATAAGGTGGATTTGAACCTGAAACCTTATGATTGACTCAAATATCCTACCACCATCAATTACATACGCCCATTTTTGCTCTAAAAACATCCTAACACTCCACTCCCATATCAACAAGTGTTTTCCCAATAATATTTTTTGTTTAACAACTATGTATGTGTATGTTTAACAAAAAGTATTGATATCTTTGAAAAAAAAGGTAAAGATCATGGAGATTAAATGCTTAGTGAGAATGATTAGAAAAATAAGTCTTATTAAATAGAGAAAAAATGTTTCAATGTATTAAAAATAAAAATATTTCGTATTTAAATGTCTATTTAAGGTACATGATGGGTGTTTTGAAACCAAAATGCGAAACTGAAACCAATCTAGATGATAATATATGTGAACAAAATAATAACAACAAGATGATAGATGGAAAAAAAGGTTGTCAAATTGAAGATCTTGATGATGATCTTGAAGATCTCTTGCAATGGACAACTGCTTTAGATTATGAAAGGTTTTTTTTTTCCTCACTATTTTTTTCTTTTTTCCTCATTATTTTTAATAAAATTGTTGTGGGATAGTGTGCTTAAAATAATGTGCTGTGTTATAATGTAAGAGGTATTTTACCTCTTAGACTATAATCAATCAAAACCATGTGTTTAGGCGAAGGTAGCGCCTTAAAACATGGCCAGGGTATTTTATAGTAAAATTTAAATCGCGGTTATATTATAGTATAATTTATGGCAAGGGCATATTATCGTAAAATTATTTTCTATAAGAATCTTTTAATTTACTTTGTTAAAAAAAAATTTAATTTATTATATTTTATGAGTTTGTTAAAAAAGAGTTTTTAAATAGTTGTCAAATTTGTTTATATTTTTTTATATATATATAAAATAAATAATTGGAATGTTATAAATGTTTTTTTAAAAAGTTTAAATCTATTTAGAAATTAGTTTTTTGCCTTTGATAGCTGTTTGGGTGATTTTAGATATGTTGAAGATTGGCATTTCTATGGAACTTCTTTTATTCAAGATAAATTTTATGGTAATTTTTTTTTATGATGATGATTATCTATAATAAGAGTGAAGATATTAAACACATTTTAATGACTTTTAATTACCGCGGTAATAAATGTCAGTTGATGAAAATCACTTACAAATTTTAATCATTTACCGTGATTTTTAGACACCTTCTTATGAGTTAGGATGATTCTAAAAACAACTTTTTTTTTAAATGTCTGCTGGCACCCTAATTTGAAAAAGGAGATATGTCACAAAATGGAGATTTTTATATTAATATAAAGTATTTTTATACGCGAATGTGTAGACCAAACTTTTTTTTAGTACTCAATAATATAATCATTGTATATTTGAAAAAATAATCATCGTGTATTTGAAACATTACCTTCTTTACAGTTTTTTTTAGTTTCTGAATAAAAAAAACTTACTGTGACAAGCCCCCTTTTACAAGTTAGCAATTCATATAAAGATAGATAGTATTAAATTTACATGCAATTTTTATACTTAATGATTCAAATATTCTACTATTTTTTTCAAAATTTTCCATTATAAGAAAATTTATGTTGTTTCAAAAGAGATTGCTTTAATATTATTTTACGTACTCGCACGCTTTTATGCGAATTTCGTAATCCCTTCTATCCCTCATCCATCCTCATCATGTACGTATTTTATGGATGATTCAATGTTAAATTATGTTAGCTTTAATTCTTTCTGTTTCCTTATAAAACTATTTCCATTAATTCTTTTTACGCTCAATTACTTTTTATTTTAATTAAAATCAAACTGTTACAATTAAATGATTTTAAAGTTTTTAAAAGATTAAAAATTAGTTGTTTGAAACTTGTTTTCGTTTGCGTAGATTTTATTTTCATGTTGAATTAACTGCAAAAGATTTTACTTTTTATAGTTAAAATATTATTGTTGCGTGAAATATTATTGATAAATAGCTTATTTTTAAATTCTTTTATTTACTTTAGATTCAAGCGATGATCCTTTATCTTAAGAAGTGTTCACGAAGTTATTTGCGAAGCCGGGTTTTTTTTTTACAATTTTTTTTTAAAGTTTAAAGATGGATACTAAGTTCTCTTTTTTATCTGTTATTAACACTTTATAGTTTGTTTTTTTTTCATTAATATATTTAAATAAAATTATGAACTGTTTACAGACAATAATGAACTTATTAAGTTATTGATATTTTTGGTTTTAAATAGTCAATAAATAAACACTATCTAAATATATTCCTTTTTTATAAAAAAAAAATATTTCTCTAAATTGCGAACTTTTGCGATTTATAGTCTTGATGATATTTTTACACTTTTTTATGATTGCTTAATGATTGCTTAATGATTGTTTATTGATGATGTTAACTAACCGTTTATACGATTTTAATCGTGACTAAAATCTGCCCAAATTAAAAACACCAGTTTATGTATGTGCTTTTTTCTTTCGCTCACTATTATATGATCTGTTGATAAATAAACGCTTAATAATATAGAATTTACTATAATTGTTAAAGTATAATTATATTTATTTTAAAACTAATAAATATTTGTGATCTTTAAAAATTATTATTTCAGTTCGCAAAAATGCTCTCATTTTATCTATGATGTTCAGTATTTTCAGATTTTTTACATTTTAAGTCAGTTACAAAATCTAACCAAAAGTTTGCGAATTTTTATTTTTGCCGGTTTTATAATTTTCAAAAGGTTGTAATTAATTTTTATCTCAAACTTTATAATTGATATTTAAAATTTTACATGTTTATTAAATTGTTTTTGTTTAAAATAACTAATTAAGTTCACTATTGCTTTTTTGGCATATTTTAATTTGCATATTTCCTTCATACAGGAAATAATTTAATCGTTGTTAATAAATAAATTAGCAGATTAAAAATTAAATGCATAATGGACGAAAAAACTTATGATATAATAGACTGGAAGTCATGCGAAAGTTTTTCCGTTTCTTCCAAAGATGACGAGGGATACAACAGTTATCATCTGCCGCGGTACAATCCGTTTGTTAAAGATGAAATAGCTTCTACTACTGATATAGTTTTTCCTACTCTTTTTCATGATAAAGTTAGCGAAACAAGTATTGTTACTATTGACGAAAACGAAATGAGTACACTGCACGCATTAGATCAGATCGAGGCTAATCCAGATCAGCTTGAACAACAAAATATGTATCAAAAAGTGGCAAACTGGATGCACAATCAGCGTAAATATTTTCGGCATGTCGAAAGAGTGATAGAAGACGACGAACTAGAAATGATAGATCCTGTTGATTTATTTCACGAGTCTATTCTTAAAGACTATTGGCTCATCACCGGTAAGTTCGTACAAAAGATTTTTTATTTTATATCGGAACCTTTCTATTCCACTCGACTACAATTATTACGTCATTATTTTGTTTTAATTTAAATTTTATTTTGTACTGTATTTTGTGTACTTTTTACGTGTGTGGCGTGTACTTGTTACGTGTGTGGCGTGTACCTAATGAAATCTCTAAAATTATTTTTTAACAAATTTTTCATTTACTTTTCAGAAACAGAATCTGAAAGAAGAATTTTGTTGCGTGACTTTTATTCTTATCGACATCATATCGAGTCCATCGAACAAGGTTTGATTACTAACGAATTTAAGTTCATTCGAGAACCTCCTGCAAAAAAAGAGATGGAACTTGTTCCTATTAAAGACTTTCATTTATTTCATAAGTTATCGAAAAGAAAAAAGAAAAAAAAACACGACGACGATTCATCTTCCTTGTCGTCTTACATCGAAAAAACTGAAGAAAGCATCGATTTTCTTGGTGTTCCTCGGTTATTAGAAAACTACGTTGTACTTAACCGAGAAGGTTACGCTATTAATGTAAACGAACAAAAAGACATCTGGCATTTTCCTTTAGACGAACATATTGTTGAAAATAAAAATGATGATGACGATGATAAAAATTTTGATATCGAATTTCTATCTTCGTGGTTTTCGGATGTCTATCAAGATATACTTACTGACGATCAGAGAACAACTTTTACAATTAATACTGACATTTTTGAAAAAGTGACAGTTATATCAGTTAGTCAAGCTAGTGACGAAGAGATATGGGAAGATGCTCCCGACATTCCTCACTGGCTGGATGACGAAAATCAGGATTTAGAATTATTTAATCAACCAAGTAAACCTTTATACTATTACCGAGATAGAATTAAAGGGTGTTATCGTATCATAGGTGTTGAAGATGAAACGGTAATTTTATTTTCAGGAAATGACGACGACACAATATTTTACCCTAGCGAAGAGTGGGGAGTTGAACATTTACCCGATAACGCAGTTGCGTTAAAACAAAACATTTCACTCGAATGTAACATCACGTCACTTGTTGACTTGAAAAATGACTCTGGGATAGAAGATGATGATGTTATTACTGATGAATCTACTTTATCTAATGTCTCCAGTAAAACTGATTTTGATCCCAGTCTGACAAATAAACAGAATTTTATAAAAGCATTTTTTCAAAAAAAATTTAAATGGATTATTATTTCAGTTGTTACACTGTTTGCTTTGTTTGGTTTTATAAACGAAGTTAGTTTTAAAGTCCTACACAGTGAATGTCATTTCTTTAGTTGGTTAACAAATACCACATAATATGTAACTAATGTTGTTGTTTTTTAATTGATTAACTTTTGTTTGATTTTGGAACAACAAAAAAAAAAGACAAAACGTTGATAACTATAAACACTTTTTAACTTATGTGTTTTAATTTAATGGAGTTCAAACCTAAAATTTTTTTTTTTTTGTGTTCCAAATTCATATAGGATCTTATAGGACTTTTTGACTAGGGTAACCGCTCTAGGCATCTTTTTTTCATGCACTTTAGCTAAATACGGCTTCAAACTAAGCTTTTGTAAATGGACGCTCTTAAAAAAATCTATGATCATGTGTGATGTTTAGATTTTTTGTTTGTTTTGTATGTTGTTGACGAGAAATCATTGAATTATAAACTTACAGCCGGTTTAAATAGTTTTAAATTGTGAAAACGAGTTTTTAAATTGATTTAGAAGGTTTAATAATGTAATTGTAAAAATTTTGTATTTAGTTCAGAAATTCGGTAAAAGGAGAGGAGGAATGGAACTTTTGCAAATAAAATTAGGACGAAAATAAGTTTGTATCTTATATATATATACATTGGTATCTCCCGATTTTTTGTTCCGTTTATTCACAGTAGGATTATGATATAATATTTTTTACTTTTAAACAAAAAAAATACTAAACTAAATTGCTGTGATAAATTATTAATTTCTAGTTGTGTTTATTAGTTCAAAATAGGATCCAACGAGGGGCGATCGTCCCCCCTTATATGATTTTTAAAAACTTTTGCGATTAATACTCGGTTTTTGCATCCCTTTATAAAAAAAGCATGTAATGTTAACAAAAATACCGAAATATCTTAAAATAATTTAAATTTATTGAAATACAATTATTTGGCAAAGATTAGAGAGTTTAGTTGTTCAACTAAATACGTATTTAAAATTTGATATGTTGATTATATCAACTTATATTACAATTTCTAACTTAAAATTAGCCGCCAAAACTGTCAATCGCGTTTTTAAAATTTACTCGAATTTCTCTGTACACACAATGTAATCGGCCAATCATTCTTGTTTGTTTTTTGTCATTCGTCTTCTTTTAATTTTTCGCAGAGTTGAGAAGCTACGGGCAACATTTACAGGACATAACTTAATAATTTGTAATTGGTTGGATATTGCATCTGGTAACACAAATAAAAAATAACAGAAAGATTAGTAGCCTGTGATGTGATTCCTCCCTCGTTCTTTATCATAAAACATTTGCATTGCCATAGTTTAAATTCAGGTACAGGTAAGTTTTGGATAGTCAGCTTAAGAATGACGCCATAGACATAACTGATTGCAGAAATAATGTAATAATATTTTTTAACATCAACAAATAGATTTGAAAATAGTGCAAATTTTCATTAGAAAAACTTGTTTATGCCCAAAATTAGCACATCAAGAAGAGGAGTATGAATTGATCGCCCGTAGTATTGTTCCATTATTTTTGAAGGTGTTTGTATATAATCACAAACTAATCAATTTATAATGAATTAAAAAGTACAGAGTGATTATCAAGTATAGTAATTAATGTTCTTTAGGCAGTTTGCTCAATTCAGAAGACGATGATGCATATTTTTGAGTGATTGTATTACACTCAAGGCTATCAGTCTTTTCTTGACAGACATCAACATATACGACTCCAAGGATTCATTCGAAAGAATTTCACAATCTCCTCATGATTAACTTTAACTTTGGAAACAATCTTTCACATTCAACTTTTCTGGCGTTTTCTGAAGCAAACTTCTTGATCACTGCAGTAAAATCTTTAAATGAATAATAAAGCTAAATCACTGAAGCGAGGTTGTCCCTCTGTTGATCTAAGTTCATACTTAACTTTTTTACGGACAGAAAAAGTTCTTTCTCTATCAGAGTTTGTTACCTTAAGAAACTAATAAATTCTCAACACAGTATAGATATTCGCAAAAGTTAAATCTGTCAAACCTGTCAAATTATTCTTAACTAGAAAGGTTTACGTTAGCAGTTCAACACAATCAGTTTCCTTGGGCAGTGAAAATCTGATAAACAGAGAAGTAATATGAATAAATTCATCATGGCTGTTAGCTTCAACATCTTTAAAATATGTTTCACGCACAAGTTAAACATGATCTCATACCATCTCTCATACTATCATTGGATAAAGATTGTAGATGTTAAAAAAAACCAAACATTTTACTGTCATATGCAAGGCTAATGTCATATGCATTAGCCTTGTTTATGAGCAACTAACATCACTTACTGATCAACTATAGATAAAATTAATTAACTTTTAGAAGCTTATTAGAAGGCGGTAACTCGAGATCATCTGAATCACGATAATCCCGTCTATGGTTCCTCTTGCGCTTTCGCCTTGCATCAGCTTTTTACTAATCGGTACTCAGACCTTTTCCTTCCTTTGTTTTTACTCCCACCTTTGCCTTCCTTTGCTTCTACTTGCACCTTTTTCTTTTCAATTGCTGTTATTTAGTTCCGAAGAGAATGAACAAAATCATCAGAAGAACTGAAAACTGAGAAACGTAGAAAAAAATAATCTGTTTCTCTAAAAACATAAGGTCTTTGTTGCATTCTTATCATTTTAAGCCCATATAAAATAGCTCCTTTATAAAGCACCCATCATACAATGAGAATAATAAACTCATTATTACAATCCTCACATAGAATTCAACAACTATCAAAATTAAGCCCTAATAAAATGGCTCGCTAATTAATATGCTTTATATGTATATAGAAACTTCAGAAAGAATTCTGTTATGTGTAACAATCTTTAGGGATGTTCTTTCCTTCGCATAAGGCACTGATATAAATAATATAAAAATAAAGTTTATTAAATATTTTTGATATTTTGAATAAATAAAATAACTATAAAAATATGTCCCTTATTATTAATAAGCAGCTATTTACCTTATTTGTAATCTTGTTGTGTTATTAGGAGAGGGCAATATAAAGAGAGTGTCAAAAACTAGGCTTTTAGGGTTATTTTTTTAAATATAATTAAAACTAAATCTACCATTATATATATAACATTATCACCAGCGTAAATTAAAAAATATCTATGAAGCATAATTAAATTCGTATCTAGTGACTAGGCAGGCAACATAGCTTTACAATATAAGAATATCACTTATTCGATTGACTTCGAGCTTGATGTTTTTTAAGTCTACCGTATGTTGTCTATATTTCTTTAAAAAAAGTTGTAAAATCATGCATTGTTGAAAAAAAAAAAAAAAGCACATCGGTTTTAAAAACACACTCAGAATGTGGTAAAAGACTGCTAACAAAATGATTGATTGATATGGCACAATAATCGGTGGCAACGTCAAGTGAGCTCAATCTAACTTGCAATAGCAGGTTATGCGTGCTATGCCATGCAAAACCTGAAAATACAGTGAGAAAAAAATTACCAGATAGGAATTTATATAATAAGGGGCCCGTAAATGATTTTGTCTTAGGGTCCCGCAACTCGTAGTTACACCACTGAATTAGGTCTAGTTTCTAATTAAAACACAATTCCAATTTAACAAGGTTCAACACTAGAATTAAATAAAAGTTAGACAACAAAGTCAAAAGCCTAAGTTTTATTAACTAATTCAAGAAACTAATTCAGAAACTAATTCAAAGGTCTCAGCGGCCAAATGGTCATTAGACCGGTGGGCCAGTCTGTCGCGGACAGCACAGCCTAAGACAGAATAAAATCACTTTCTCTAATTGATAATAATGAAACTCTTGCTTTCGATGAAAATGTTCTGTCAGTTTGTTTACATATATTATTACATATATTACAGCACAAAACGTCTGCAAAGCTTTCCCAGTAAGCACAAGACGCATTTTAGACACTTATAGACGTCTAAAACTAGTCTAGGTAAAGACGCACTTTTATAGGCGTTATAAAGACATCTTTTAGACGTCTTTTATGAATGCGTTTTTAAAATGACGTTTAAAAGGCGTCTATTTAAGCGTTAAAAAAAACGTCTAGAAGATATCTTTTTTTAAGACATCTTCTAGACGTCTTTAATAAATGCGATTTTAACATGACGTTTAAAATGCGTCTTTTTAAAGTTTAAAAATACGTTTAAAAGACGCGTAATAAATAGTCTAAAATACGCATTAAAAGACGTCTAGATCAAAGCTAAAAGACGTCTTTTCTGAGACCTGTTTATAAATATGTCATTATGACTTCTTTTTGACGGCTTTGTCATTACGCGTTAAGTAGATGTCGTATATTCAAAGTAAAAACATAGTTTTTATTATTTTCAATAATTTGTTCAAGTTTTAAGTGTAAATTACTTTAAATTAAATTACTTTTTGACACAATTGCTAAAATTGTTGTCACAGGAATCACTAAAATAATTGCTATAATAATAATATATCTTTTTTTTATTAATAATTATTTTGCTTTTTTAATAGATAGTTGACTGATCATGATAATAAGTGAAAATGGCAAGAATAATATATAAGTTAAATATCAGTACTTTTAGTTTTTATACACCCACAAGCCATATAATGAGTCAAGTATGCGGTCAAAAATTAGCTACAAATAGGTATTAAATTTTTTAATAACTAAAGGTTAGTTGTAAATGTTTCAAATACTGTTTGATATATATTTGTTATTGTTTTTTATTATTTTCATCTTTCATGCATCAACCGTTGGTGGTGATTACAGCAATATTATTTTGATTGCTGGTTCCTATGTATATTTTGTATATACGAAATTATAACAATAAATGATGTTATAAATACAATGAATATACATACTACGCGAAAATGTTCATGTACTTAAATTTATCTTGATAAAAACGTCTAACATACGTCTAAAACGCGTTTTTATAAAGACGTCTTCATTTAGACGTCTTTTAGCCTTATGATCTAGACGTCTACAAGTGCGCCTTTTAGACCTCCTTAAAGACATCTTTAAAACGTCTTTTAAACGTCTTTGTGCTTACTGGGACGATTAATAGGGTTATTAAAAAAATCTAAAAATTGTCTCCCTTACTTGATGATATAGATGCGCCCCTGGTTCAAAATA